CTTTCCGCAGACCAACAATACGGGCTGCAGGGGGCAAGTCCCACTAGATGGTGTTCTTCATTTCCGGCCATCAGATCGATGGCCGGAAATGAAGAACACCATCTAGTGGGACTTTGCCTCTGTAGCCTGTATTATTGGTCTGCGTGAAGAACAAAATATACGATCTGTGTGTCGGCTTTGGGCTGAATAGATCTTACATCACATCTGGCCAAGAATGAAGAACACCATCTGGTGGGACCTGGCCCCAGAAGAGCAAACGGGGGTTGTGGACGGAACATAGCTTTTTTAACTTTCTTTGGGCCAATGCAAAGCCGACACACAGATCGTAGCGGAACATAGCGTTCTGGACAAAACCGACAATGTCTTTGATTGGATATCGTCCACGAGTGAATACACACCTCTTGATAATTGTCTTTTCATCGTCCACAAGGGGACGGAACTGATCTCAACAACGCCAAAACCCCTCTCACAAAGTCAATCCCACCTGCATGGGAGGTAAACAGAGGATGAAGGCAATGGGAACTCTCTCTCTCTCTCTCTCTCTCTCTCTCTCTCTCTCTCTCTCTCTCTCTCTCTCTCTCTCTCTCTCTCTCATCGGAAGGTTGGTAACGAGTGCCAAATAAGAAATGTATTGCTACTAAGCAAACACAACTTGAATGTATTATTGTAGTAATGAGGGCTGAATGCAGGATACCCTCTTCCCCCTGAATAGAGCAGTCATGGCCATTATGCCTTGTATCTCGACTAAAAGTTTGACCAGATCCAGCTGTAATCACCGTACAGAAATTCGAGGGAAGAGGGTACCATTATCCATGTATCTAGACTGAAAATTGAACCAAATGCAGCTATAATCATCGTACTTTCTGTTCGGGGGAAGGCGGTAGAGTCGCCGTCTGATGAGCACTAAGTAGTCGTCATCGTGTCAGCAAGATCTAAGTAATCTTCGTCGATTTAGCTGGACTAAGGGCATACTCACAGAAGGACTTTTTCACATATTATGGACGTAATTGCAGTCAGATACATCCAGGTCCGGCCGTAAATGCGGCCACGTAAACTTACGATAACGCTACTGTAGTCTGAGTACGCCCTACGTGACTAATAATCGTCGTCGTATTAGCAGGACTAAGACATACTCACACTACTTATGGACTGTTTCACCTACTTATGGACGTAATTGCAGTCAGATACATCCAGGTCCGGCCGTGAACGCGGTCACATACACTTACAATAAAGCTAGTACGCGTACGCCCTAAGTAACCGTCGTCGTATTAGCAAAGCAGTAACACTGGGCCTCGCTCCACTATACAACAATCTACATGCATTTGGACGCCTTCCCAGACGGAATGCATTGGGTACGTTCGAGTTGTTCCAATGTACCTGGTCCAGATAAGCGACCATATATACATGTAGGCTTCACAACACTCTACATGCATTTGAACGCCTTCAAAAGACGGAATGCATTCCTCCAAGTGTTGGACTCGTCCAAATGCACCTGGTCCAAATAGCCGCCCAGATGCATGTAGACTGTTGTATAGTGGAGCAACGCCCAATATGAGCAAGTGCGTCGACACGAGACTCCGATGTTGACGTCATCACCTCCACCATCCCGGCAGTGATCAAATACTACGGTCTTCCCTCCGAACACGACGTATCCTGATAATCCCTGTATCTGGTCGTAAACATGGTTTGTATACATATGATGATCAGCTCTACTACTATCCCGGATGCTACGGTCTTCCCGCCGAACATGCATGACGTATTCTGATAACGCCTGTATCTGGCCCGAAACACAGTCTGTATGCATTCAAAATCAGAGTGCGTCATGTTCGGATGAAGACGGATTTCGTCCAGCAGACGTGGTCACGCGTACTGGGATACTCGATACTCGTGCAATTCAATTGGTCCTTTGGATTTCAAGAGTGAATGTTCCCTGAATTCTCCCATCATTATGGGAAAATTGGTCCTTCGAATTTTCGACTGATCGCTCGACGCACGTCCAATTTTTTTTTTTCTTTATTATTTTATTTTTTTTGAGGGCTGCGCCGCACTCTGCTGCAGTGCAATTCAGAGGCAACACTGGAGGGGTCGAGTAAGCAAGCTTACTCGTACGACCCCTCCGTGGCCCAGAAAAATTAATTTAATATCGTGTGGTCCGATGGACCAATATTCGCGAGGTACATTTCGACTAATCGTCGCTTGGGAAATTTCTATTAATCGCTGGGCGGATTTCGATCAATCAAAAATGACTATACCCCGTCTTGACCCGAATAGAACGCACGGTCATTATAGCTGTGCATTTGTGGCAACTCTCCGTCTAAATACAGCGAATCATGACGGTGCGTTCTGTTCGGGGGAAGACGGTAGGTGAATTTCTCCACTAATCGTTACGAGTGCTCGATTTCACTCACAGTCGTTATAACTGCGCATTTTGGGCAAACTCTCAGTCTCAATATTAGTATCAGCGATAATGACCGTATGTTCTATTCGGTGGAAGACGGTAGGTGAATTTCCACTAATCGCGAGAGTACTCCGCTTTCAGTCACAGTATTACTCATTAGCTGTGCATTTGGGGCATCTCTCAGTCTACATACAGCGATAGTGACCGTACATTCTATTCTATTCAGGGGAAGATTGTAGGTGAATTTCCACTAACTGCTCCGCTTTACACCCATCCGTCAGTATTGGATTGCGCAGATGCTGAGGCATCTCACTCGTTGGACAATTTTTTATTTTTATTTTTTTTTTGTTTTTGGCTTCCGGTTGGATTAACCAATGTGGACTTTCCATGTTTTTTTTGTTTTTTTTTTTTGCAATAGAAAATAACCATCTTCTCAGGGGCAGCTGCTCTGGAAGGAGGGACATCCATACACGTTCCCGATCGATTGATGACGACAACAACAACCTTCTAGGTGCAATCTGCATATAAACATCTCTACCGCTTGCTGCCGGGCGAGAGGCATTGCCCCGATCGATTGATGACGACAACAACAACCTTCTAGGTGCAATCTGCATGTAAACATCTCTACCACTTGCTGCCGTGCGAGAGTCATTACGGGCCTCACTCCGCTACTCGGTGCATGCAGAAAAGACAATCTGTGGCGGTGTATCTGCCCATGTTCTAGCGGAAGATTCATCCGCGATTTGCTTTGCACATTTGGTGAGTAGTGGAGGGAGGCGGCCCTAAAGCACGAGCTTGGCTGGTTCGATTTGCACAGGGTATCAAAAAAAAAAAAAAAACGATTTGCACAGGGTATCCATGCACACCATAAAATTTACGGTAATCAAGAAAGTCGGAAAAAAAAAGTGAGACCAAAGAGATTATTATTACCCCGTTAAAAAAAAAAAAAAAAAAAAAAAATTTTAATTTTTTTTTTTTTTAAAAAAAAAAAAAAAAAAAAAAAAAAAAAAAAAAAAAAAAACATTGAAGGTTTTAAAACAGAAAAAGAAAACAGTAGAGAATAGAAACAACTCGACTTTTGAATCAGCTCAAAGAGTACTCTGGAGAGCAGTGGAGGAATGGAATAATGGCTTATCCACCCCAACGAAACTTCAATGCATTCAGAAACAGCCCTGATATGAAGACCTCGCAAAATTATGCAAAATGATAGTAACCGTCGCCTACCCGCAAAACGATCGCAACTGTCGCCTACAAAGGCCCATTAAAAAACGGACTTCAAAAAAAAAAAAAAAAAAAAAAACGGACTTAAGAAGAGACCATTCCGAAGCGCGGTCCCTCTATTGGGCACGTAGGAGGTGGGTTAGGACTTGCAAGGGCTTTCCGTAGTGTCGCCTCTTGGGTATTTTCTCCACATGCCAGGGCAACTACATCCCCAACCATCAGTACCGGACAACCCTTCACGCCTACCTACGCATCTCTCTCTCTCTCTCTCTCTCTCTCTCTCTCTCTCTCTCTCTCTCTCTGTCTGTGTGTGTGTGTGTGTGTGTGCGTGCGTGTGTGTGTGTGTGCGTGCGTGTGTGTGTGTGTGTGAGAGAGAGAGAGAGAGACCCACGCACACAACCGAGACACACTTCAGCCAGGACTTTCATAATTGATTGAACACAACAACTATTTCCAAATGGAAAAGAATCGCCAGCACGTACTACCACAAACGGCGAACAACGCTGCTACAAAGTTTGCAATCGCCCAAGTAAAACTGTTACAGTAGAGAGCCAAGAAAACCTTCTTGTCCATCGAGGCATCTCTCTCTCTCTCTCTCTCTGAGCCACACACACACANTTAAAAAAAAAAAAAAAAAAAAAAGAGTTGCAAGATTCTGAATTCCTGACTGATTGTCCTTTTTTTCTTGTTCTTTTTTTTTCCCATCTCAAGAATGACGATACAACAAAAAGAATTCCGATAGATTTTTTTCTTAATTAAAGATTAAAAAAAGAAAAAGAAAAAAGAAAAAAGAAATTCCAAAGCCATCACGAGGGTATGTTGTATTGGGGGCAAAGACGGTAGGCATGTGATCTGGGGCCAAGTCCCACTTACGCTGGTCTTTCATTCCTGGCCGTCGATCGTCCTAAACGATGGTCGGAAAGTGGGATCTCGGTTAAGTGGGACTTGGCCCCTGGTCCGTACCAGGACGTGTACCCAGTCAGTAGCTAAGTCTATATTCACCCGAGCAACTGGAAGTCGTCAGGCGACACCTTGCTACGGCCACATAGAGGTTCCAAAATAGAGAGAGAGCAGAAAAAGAGAGAGAGAGAGAGAGAGAGAGAGAAAAGAGATTCCAAAAGAAAGAAAGAGAAGAAAGAGAGAGAGAGAGAGAGAGAGAGAGAGAGATTCCAAAAGAAAGAGAGAGAAGAGAGAGAGAGAGAGAGAGAGAGAGAGAGAAAGAAAGAAAGGGAGGGAGGGGCGGGGGCGAAAAGGGGGGGGGRGGGKTGTATAAAGAAACTCCAAATGAGGGCAACATCGCAAAGAAGACAAATCATGGATGATGATGATTCGTAATCATCACAGGAAGGAAACGGTGAATTATCCGTTCTGCTCCTCTCACCTTGAAAACCACTTCTGCTCCGACATGCATAAGGAGGACCCCGCATCGCTTTTTCCTTCATATGAGCCCTGAACGCCTCGATTGCTCGCTCATTTTGACGAATTGACGACGGCAGAGACCCTTCATCACTGCCCGACGGTCCGCCGCTCGCGCCGCTCAAGTACACCTTACTGGTCCTCGCACCGTACCCATGATGCGCTTCGGGATTGCCAATATCGCGCAGCATATCATCCCCCACAGATACTCCGTTGCCATGACCCCCTTCTCCCGCCATCAGGCTAAATTTCCCGCCATGATCCCTTTCTCCCGCCATCAGGCTAAATTTCCCGCCATGATCCGCTTCTCCCGCCATCAGGCTAAATTTCCCGCCATGGGCTAAATTGGCGACCATCTTGCCCCTGCCACCGAGCTCCTCTTGAGTCCTTTCAACCTCTTGCCTCTCTGCTACATCAAAATCCCGCGGCGATTCTCTCTCTACCACTGCCATCTTCTCCTCCTCCTCCTCCTCCTCCGTCTCCTCCTTTCCCCCTCTGCATCTACCTCTTCGTTCATATGCGCTACACCTTCCATTCCCCTCGCGCAAAACCCTCACGCCAACCTCCTCCCCCTCCTCGCTCTTTTCAACCACTGCTCCCGTTTCCCCCTCTCTTGCTTCCCTCTCCTCAACAACATCCCCTACCGAGCACACCTCGATACCACCTCCACCACCACCACCTCCACCACCTCCACCTCCTCCTGCTCCTCCTCCTCTCCCCATTTTCCCGTCTCGCTCTCGTCGCCCGCACTCCCTGCACTGCCTGCCGCCGTCCTTATCTGAAATCCTCTCTTCCATCACCGGTTTTGTAATTAGAAACTGACCGACGATATTGGCCGACTCGCAAGACATCAACCCTCGCAGCAGCGGTTCCACATCGATTCTCTCTTCCTTCACCGCTTCGCAGGAAGACCCACTCTCGGGTTCACTGATTACTTCCAGCAGCTGTGGAGTTCCAGAGACTGGCTCGCTAATCGGCGAGAGAGAGGTATGGTGGTGGGGGGAAGACGCGAGATCATTACTCCCTCCCCCTTCTCCCTCATGCGCGGTCCCATGCCGCTGACAGGCAGACAAGC